AGGGGCCGTGCCCGACACCCGGGCGCTGGCGGGCTCGGGGAGCTGACACGGGACGGATGAGTCCGTGCTCAGGTGCGCACAGCTGCCAAGAATTAGCTTTGGGCGCCGAGGCTCGGGGACGAGGTCCTGCGTCCCAGGCCGCTCGGCTCGATTAGGCAAGCCGCCATGTGGCCTGAGCCTTCAGGTGCCTGACGCTCACAGCCTCCGCTGTAGACAGATCCGCCGTAACTTTGGTACCACATGTGAGTAGAGTGGTGCTAGTGCTCATTCCCCACGTCGGCTCTGGGTTGGACTCTCCTTGGCCCTTCTCTAGCTTTGGGCGGGAGGATCTTGAACGTAGATAGCTGAGGACTGTTGGGAGCCAGTCATAGCCCAGTGGTTCTTTGAAAGATAACTTCTTTCTTTATAATCAAGGCATTGACACAGTGTGTGGTCAGGATGTTCCTAATTAGCATTTGTTAACATTTGTTCCTCTTTAAGGACTGCACGTGTTAAACTTGTTTTTGACCCTGCACAGCTAAAGATCCGTAGGAGTCAGGTGCTTCCTGTTAAAGATCTGACGTTATCTGTAGGAGTCCCAGGTGTTTCCTGTTGATGTGCCTTTAAAAGGCCGGTGCTTGCCGGCAATACACGTCGCCTTGATCAGACTCTTGTCTTGGCGTCCTTCCTTTCTCTCTGCCCCATCTCCACCCCGCTGCTCTTTCAGGTTTGAGGCACTGCGGGACAGTGCTCTGCGTCGCCGGCTCGCGACAGAGGACCGTGTGAAATTGTTGGCAACCACGGAATTACTCGGATGTGCATTGGCTTGGAGAGGACCCTGAGCTTTGCTTCTTTGTCGTAGAAAGAAGGAGCAGTGGACTGGAAGTCAGGTGTACAATGCCTCCCCGAGGAGTTGAGTGTCCATTCCCTGTGACCAGAAAAAAGAGAGTTGTGACGTGGAGGAAGGAGGCGAATTGACCTGTTTCCATTGGTCCCTGTGGTTGCAGCACGGGAAACAGAAGTGGGTCAAGGGAGATGACAGGAAGACATGGGAAGAGGCTGCTCCTAGCGCGGCAATGGCAACCTTTTAGAGAGGAATGCCCAAACTGCAACCCAAAACCACTTATTTATTACAAAGTGCCAACACAAATTAAACATGAATACTGAGGTTTTAGTTTAGAAAAAACTCACATTAACATCTTTTGTCTTCAAAGAAAAGCAATGATATGCATGCCGTAGGTTTGCCACCATGGGTCTAGACAGATGGTGGCTCTGGAGGTGGGAGAAGGGGATGGGTTCAGGATCAGTTTTGTTTTAAGTAAAGCTGCCTGAATCTTTCTTTTCTTTCTTTTTCTTTTTTTTTTTTTTTTTTTTTTTTTTTTTTTTTTTTTTTTTTGTTTGTTTGTTTGTTTGTTTTTTGAGACAGGGTCTCACTATGTAATTGAGACTGACCTGGAACTCTCTATGTAGCCCAGGCTGGTCTCAAACTCATGGTGATTCTCCTGCCTCAGCCTCCCTAGTGCTGGGATTACAGTTTTGCGCCACCACGCCCCGCTGCCTGAATCTTGACTTGAGGATGGTAGAGAGAATTTGTACTCATGGATAACTTTAAGGTTTGATTAGGGCTGATGGAAGTTATACTGGCTGAGGTGATGAAGTACACATTAAGCAGAGTTTTCATGGGAGTATCAAGGGTTTTACTTCTGGCTTGCAGGGTGTTTGAGAACTTTGAGGGAATAGTTCACGGCCAGCTGCAAATAAGCTGTGGGCCCACATTTAGTAGAAGGGAAGCAGGGTCATGATTGTGATGGTAGTAGATACCCAGGAAGAAGAGGGAAGGGCTGGGCTAAATACTGGATCTTCTGCTTGGGGCCCTGGGTGTTGGGTCATGTAGAGAAGTGTCTGTCGCGAGCCAGCGACGCAGAGCACTGTCCCGCAGTGCCTCAAACCTGAAAGAGCAGCGGGGTGGAGATGGGGCAGAGAGAAAGGAAGGACGCCAAGACAAGAGTCTGATCAAGGCGACGTTTATTGCAAACAAGCATCAGCCTTTTAAAGGCACATCAACGGGAAACACCTGACTCCTACAGCTAACGTCAGATTTTTAACAGGAAGTACCTGACTCCTACAGATCTTTGGCTATCCAAGTTTCTCTCGTGCAGGGTCAGAAACAAGTTTAACACGTGCAGTCCTTAAAGAGGAACAAATGTTATCTTTCAAAAAGCCAGTGGGCCATGGCTGGCTTCCCACAAGTGTCCATGAAGTGATGGTGAGGAAAATGGTCTGGACATGCCTGAGACTTCTCAGATGTGAATGTCCTTGACATGGATGTGGTGGCAAAGAAATAAACAAGACAATATTAGGGCTGGTGTTTATTCACTGCTCTACAGATTCACCAGGATTTTTGTTGTTTACCTCAGTGGGCCCTGGGGTGTTTCATTCAGGCCAGCGATTAGCTGGGGGGATAATTGTGGGGCTTGTGTTAGAAAGCCACTGGAGTTGGACCTTGCGTGAGAGTTAGTTGGACAGAAGATTGACTGGTTTGTGCAAAGCTCAGGAGTGGAAGAACACCATGGATATCTGAATGATTCTTGGTGGGCAAGGCTGAAGCAAGGAAGAGTCAAGTAGAAGCAGAATTAGGGGCTGCTTGGTGGTAGTGGGATACATGGGAGGCCTGAGGGTGTAGTAAATCTTGTTTGATTTTTGCCAGACACTGGGCACTGTGTGCTGAGAATCTAGTGGGTAGATGAAGGAACTGCTCATGGTGTGGGGCTGTGATTGAAGAGGCACCAGTGGGAAAGATGCGTGAAAGAAAAGGTTGTGTGCTTGTGGCGAGATAGTATGACCTGATGGCTTCAGTGGCCTAGCATTGAGGACATAGGGGGCAAGGCCATGTTTGGTTCCATGTGGTAAGATGACCTGGAGGAGTGCAGGACAGTTTTCTGGGAAGAGCAGTATGGTCTTACATGCCAGGTCCAGAACTTAGGTGGTGCTTATTTGCCCATCTGCATGTGGTGCTGTGTACAGATACAGTACTCAGTGAGACCATGAGGAGAGACAAGGCCTAAGTGGCACCCAGGCCTGGTTTCTCCTGTGAGGTGGGAGATGGGGAATAAGATGAGAGAGTTGGATGAGATACAAACCTGGAATTCTCAGAAGGAAGTGCATCGTTGAATGAACTCTTCCTATAGTGTTTGGGCTGTACGGCTTTTGAGGCTGTGGCTGTAAAAATATTGTGCTGTGAGAAAGGTGAATGAAAAATGCTGTGCTTGTGAAGATAGTGTGAACTGATGGCCCCAAGGGAGTTTGCTGTCATAAAGATGAGAGGGGACTCTGCTGCTTGAGTCCTGGAAGGATGATTTAGGAGAGCTTAGGGGTGTTGTCCAGCCAGAGCCGACTCTCTCTGTGGTTTCTCTTTTTAACCAGCATTTGTAATAATTATCCCAGTGACAGTAGGTGGTGTGGCCTACGTGAGAGGTTCGGTGTTATTTGTTCTTTAGGAGGACACAGTGTTAGTGTTCGTACTGGGCTTCATCAGTGGCCTCTGCTCTGGGTATCTCCTCTGAGATGACATATGGGATGGGGTGAGTGGAGCTGGATTTGGGAACAAGAAACTGAACTTGGGGGTCCTAGGACAAAAACTAATCATGAAATGAACTGTTTCCTTTATGACAGGATATAACCTTTGAGGATGTAGCCATTTACTTCTCCCGGGAGGAATGGGAGCTCCTTGATGAGGCTCAAAGACTCCTGTACTGTGATGTGATGCTGAACAACTTTGCACTTGTGTTGTCCTTGGGTAAGTTCCCCTCTCCCTGCCAATATCCTGAGGGGTCCTTACCTTGCCTTTTTTCTCAGGAGTTACTTCTGCTCTTTGGAGTTTTGTACTCAGCCTACCAGGTCTCACAGTAATTGCCTTGTCCCTGTGAGATGACTGTGTCCACATTAGTTGGCTCTTTTACTCCTGTTTCTACCTCCTTCGTCTAGGGTCATTTCCTTATAGCTACCTTAGTGAGGAATCGGAATCACAAGCGTTGTCATAATCACTCTTCGATGAGCCACAGCTGTTCTTGGGAGACCCTCCTTCAGGTGTTTTTGAAATGTTCTCTTACTTACTGTTGTATACTGGGTTGTTATGAGCCAGTGCTGGTCACTGCCTCTCTTCCTTTAGCATGTGCATCAGTGGTGTCCCGTGCGGTTTCAGCATGTGTGCTGTGGGAGAATATGGGTGCCCCTCAGGGTGGATGGCAAAGTCTCAGAGGAGGCCTGGCCTGGTGAGAGGCAGCCAGGCAAGTGCAGACCTCATGGTTGTGTCTGCATTATTCTAGGGTACTACATTGTGTTCAGCAATGTGCTCGTTAAAGGGACACTGGCAATACTCGGTTCCTCTCTCCTTTCCCTTATGTAACACTTTACCCACTTGTCATTTCATCTGCGATTTCTGGTTCTGACTGATTTTCCTTCTGTGGCTCTTTGTGTTTCTTAGTCTTTTCACTGCTTTTTCTGCTGCAGTCTCCAGTTTGGATTTACCATGTTGTGAGGTGTGACACATCCTTAATTAGTCCTTGATCGCCAGCTACGTGGTTTCATTTCTATTTTCTGGGATCGAACGCCAACAACCTTCTTTACAGCACAAGCATGTCCTTGGTGCACAAGTTTCTGCTAAATGAGTTGAAGATCCTGCTTCACCTTGTTCAGTATCCTTTGTCTGGTATGATCTCTTAATTTTCAAAGGCCCAGTACTTCACAGTAGCCCCTTCCTTAAATTGCTGCCAGCTTCCTCATTCTCAGAATAGTCCCATGGTCTCATTGCCTTTGTGTATCATATGTTTTATGATAGACCTTTGCACTTTGAGTGACATCAACATGCATTTTATTAGCATCTCTCTGATTTCAGGTGGCTGCTGTGGGACAGAGTATGAGAAGAGAATTTCTGAGTACAGTGTGCACATGGAAAGAATGACACATATCAGGACTTCTAAGGCAAGTCCATCCACCCAGGATACTCACCCCTTGTGAAAACTATGTTCCAGCCTTGGAAGACATCTTGTACCAGGCTGAGCACAAAATCACATGCCCTGTTCAGAAATTGTACTTGGGTAGCACAAGTGTGAGAGACTTCGGTTTCAATACAAATCTTCAGCACCAGAAGCATGATGGTGGAGAACAGCCTTGGGGAAGGGCTGTGGACACGGCCTCCTTAGTGGCAAGCTGCAGACTTTATACCTTGACCAAGCCTTTCTCCTGTGGAGAGGCTGGGATGGACTTCCTTGAGCATCAGATCACTCGTGATGACAAGCAGCCACACAGCAGCATCAAGAGCAGGGAAGCATTTTGGACTGGAAAAAGACATCGCAAGTGGGATGAATGCAAAAAAGCTTCAAGTCTCAAGCACACACTTGTTCAAGAGAAGTGTGTCTTTGCTGAAGAAGGGCTTCATAAATGTAGCAAATGTGAGAAAGTCTTCACCTGCAAGTACACATTTTCTCAGCACCAGGATACTCATTTTGGACAAAGAACATCTGAATGTAGTGAGTATGGAAAATCCCTTTGCGAAAAGTGCCACATTATTGGGCCTGAAAGAATTCACACTGGAGCAAGCCCTCATGAATGTAGCGAATGTGGAAATGCTTTTATCCACAAGTCTGACAAGAGACATCACAGTGGAGGAATACATTATGAGTGTGGGGAATGTAGCACATCTTTTCCCTGTAAATCTAAGCTCATTGAACACCAGAGAGTTCACACAGGAGAAAGGCCTTACACATGTAGCAAGTGTGGGAAATCCTTCAAACAGAGTTATAGCCTCTTTTGACACCAGAGAATCCACACTAGACAAAAGCCATATGAGTGATGTGATTGTGGGAAAGTCTTTAGCTGCTACTCTGAACTCATTCAACACCAGAGGATTCATAGTGGAGAGAGGTATGAGTGCAGTGACTGTGGGAAAACCTTTAGACAGTATTATAACCTCATCAGACACCAGAATGTTCACACTTGTGATAAGCCTTATGAATGTGGTGAATGTGCAAAATCCTTTAGCCGCAAATTTACCCTCAATCAACACCAGAGTCTTTACAGTGGACAAAGGCCTTATGAGTGCAGTGAATGGGAAATCCTTTACCCGGAAATCTGACCTTGTTCAGCACCGGAGAATTCACACTGGTGTAAGACCTTATGAGTGTGATGAATGTGGGAAATCTTTTAGACAACGCTCTGGCCTCATTCAACACCGGAGAGTTCATTCTGGAGAAAAGCCTTATAAGTGCAATGAATGTGGAAAAACCTTCAGTCAGAGTGCAACCCTCATTCATCATCAGCGAGTTCACACTGGAGAAAAGCCTTATCAGTGTAATGAATGTGGAAAATTCTTTGGCCAGAGCTCTACCCTCCTCCAGCACCAGAGAGGTCACACTGGAGAGAGACCTTATAAATGCAATGAATGTGGGAAATGCTTTACCCACAAATCTGACCTCGTTCAGCATCAAAGAGTTCACGCTGGAGAAAGGCCTTATAAGTGCAGTGAATGTGAAAAATCCTTTAGTCAAAAATCTAATCTGACTCGACACCGGCAAGTTCATACCTAAGAAGGCTTACAGTGTGTAGGAAAATGTTCTACTCCATTCCTAAATTTAATAACATGGCAGGAGACCAAAGGGGCCCTATCTAAATGTGAACATCGTTCATGTGAGTTTTCTCAGTGTGAGTTTCACGTACCTGTGATGCTTTGTGGTGACTGATTAGAGTTTAGAATCAGTGGCCCAGGGCCACAGCCTGATTTATTTCACTGCCCATTTCTGTGGCATAATCCATTTCACTTCTACTCCCTGATAAGTTCACAGGCTGTGTACACAAGTTATTATTCCAGAGTGCTCCGAGAAGCAAACCTCTGACCTCTCCTATTTGGGGAAACACTCTTCTCAGCCTTTGGTGGCTCCTCATTTTCTTGTTTCTGCCTTTAGGGTACAGCCCTTAACAGTTTTGGTCCAGAGGGCTTGGTCATAGTTGTGTGTCAACTTGCTAAGAATCACCACTTTGTTGTTCTCACATCATGCTTGTGATGAGTTTTTCTGGGCTGTAATTTAGTAGCCTGGAAACTGCTTGCTGCACATTGCACTGATGAGTGATCTTTTAGTAAAAGTCATTTTGTTTATCCACTTTTAATTTTGAAAATTCTGTTAATTGTGTGGGGTGACTTATAAACAGACTAGTTAGGTTGGTGTGGAGTGATCCAATTCTGGGGAAATCCCAAATGGCCATGCAGACAGGAAAACAAGACTAGAGAGAAAAATAACTTGATAGTTTAAGGGTGTAGCTTTGTGACAGCATTCCTGTTTAAAACTGGCACAGGCTTTTATTGCTTGCCAATATTTGCTGCCACTGAAACAGCTGCACCTCCTAAGGCTTGAGGAAAGCAATGGTGCAATTGATAACAGGTTATGAACCTGATCTTCCAGGACAAACAGCATTTAGGCTTATTATTTTGAGCTCCCATTTTAAAGCTTTATTTAAGTATAATTTATAAGATTTACATGCAACAAAGTACACTGAGTAACCTATACAGTTTGGACCTTGGTGTGGTAGTGTGCCTGCAGTCCCATCTACACAGGAGTCTGAAGCCAGCCTGGTGATGTAGTGAGACCCTGGCAAGACAAAAGGAAAAAAGTTTGGTAGAGCATTGAAGCCATCATTACAATCAAAAAAATAAATAAACTTTGTTAAACTGTATGTTTCCTCCTGCCCTTCTATAATCTCTCTCCCTACCTTCCTGCGGCCTTTAGGCAATTGTTGATTTCCTTTAAAGTAAATTGGTTTGTATTTTCTAGACTTTGTTGTTATTGTAAAGTGTTTGTGTGTGTGTGTGTGTGTGTGCACAAATGTGTACTGCGCAGTTATTTTGAGATTAAGAAATGCTTATGTAAAAAATTATTTTTATTGCTTTGTGTTCTGTTAGGAACATTATAGACTTTATATGTGTCTAATAAAGCTGTTGTGAATATGTCTTCTATTGTTTAGTTTTAATTTTTTATTAGTACATAGATTTTTTTTTTTCCAGTACCCAGGATCAAGCTTAGGACCTTGCACTTGTGAGGCAGGCACGGTGCCACTGAGCTAAACCCCCAGCCCGGGCATTTTATTCCCTTGTGTTAACTCAAATTGTAATGCCTCAGTTCAACATAGGGGGGTGTTTTAAGAACATAGTAAATACCATACTGTAAATGTGGTTCCCTATTGATTCCTACCAACAGTGTAGAATTCCAGTTCCTTTACATCCCTGTTGACACATATAGCCAGTCTTTTAAATTTTTGCCCACAATAAAATAGTTCATAATATTGAACATTTTTTTCATCTTTGTCAGCCATACATCTTGTTTGAAAAATGTGTGCTCATATCATTTTCCTATGATGAATTTTTTTTTACTTGACATGTAAGGAGATAGGGGAAAATGATATATGCTGGACCTTCACTTATTCTTGAATAATGCAACTTGCTTTGCTATTTGGAACAGCTGTCTTTGAATATTGCAAGCATCTAGACCTATTCCTGTTTTATTATAATTCCATTTTTTCTGTAATGCTTCCGTGGGGTCAAATGTATCTTTGTCTTATTTACTGTAACATTTAGCATAGATTCAAAAAAAATTACTTAGAAATTAACCTACCCCTAAAAGTAAGACCCATATAATGAAAACTATAGTATCCTCAGAGAGTGGAGGAGAGAGAGAGAGAGAGAGAGAGAGAGAGAGAGACTGAAGAGGACCTCAGAAAATGGAAAGACACCTCTCGTTTCTGGATAAGCAAAATCAGTATTCTTAAAATAGCCATATTATCAAAAACTAACATATTTAGTATAATTTCAATCAGAATACCAGTATCCTTAACAGAATTGAAAAAAAAAAGTCTTAAAATTCATATGAAACCAGAAGAGACCCACAAGAGCAATTACAATCCTGGGCAACAAAAGCAAAATAGGCGGCATCACAATCCCAGACTTCAAATTATATTACAAAGTTACAGTGGTAAAAACTGCACGGCACAAAAACAGACAAGCAAACCTGAGGCACATTCAGCCATCTGATCTTGTGACAGAGGCCAAACACATACCTAAAGAAAAGAGCAAATGGTACTTAACGCATTTTCTATAAGCAGGAGAATGAATCTAGACACATATCATTCATTATGTACTAAAATTAAAATGGATCAAAGACCTAGACATTAAAGCAAAAATACTGAATCTGTTTGGAGATAAAATAGGTAAAAATCTTGATGTAGGCATAGGCAAGGAGTTTATTAACAAAAAAGATACAATACCAAGTATTAAAGAATAAGGCTATATATATCACATTACAAAACTTTGGCATAACAAAGGAAACAGCCAATAGAGTACAGAAACTAACTACAGAATGCAAAAAAAAAAAATGCTGTTTATTCCTTGGACAACAATAATATCTAGAAAATACAGAGAACTTAAATTCGACCCTCCCACATTAAAAGACAATAAAAAATGAGCAACTGAAATGAACAGATACATCGGAGAAGAAGAACACTGGTCAGTGTGTCCATGAAAGAATGTTTGGCATCTTCAGTAGTTAAGAGAAATGCAACTGAAAACAATACCGAGTCCATCTTACTCCAGAAAGAATGGCCGCCATCACACACACAAAAGAACAAATACCGGCAAGGTTACGGGCAAGAAAGGAACACTTCTGTGTTGTTCAGGAGAATACAGAGCAATACAAAGTGACAAAATTAGTATGGGATTTCCTCAGAAACTAAAAACAGAAATTCCACCTATACTCCCTGGATATCTCCCCCCTGCAAATTTAAAGACAACATATTACAGTGATACACACACACCCAAGTTTGTAGCAGCACAACTTTCAATAACGAAATCTTGGAAGCAGACTATTTGTCCATCAACAGATGAATGGGTACAGAAAATGTATTTAAACACAATGGAGTATTATTTTGCCATAATGGGGGGCACATTCATGTCAGTTGTTGGAAAAGTGATGCACCTTGATACCAAAATAAGCAAAATAGATCTGACACAGAGGTTAAATATTGAATGGTTTCTTACATGAGAAATCCAATATATAAATAATTTGAACATCAAAATACAAGATAATAGTGAGACCAAGAGACAAATAAACAATAGGTAGCTAGGATAGGTACCTGAGTAAACGGAGCTAAGCCCTGGAAAAATCAGAAGAGGGAAGGAGGCTCATTAAAGCTGCCCTGGGAAGCTAGCGGGCCGGGGAGCAGGGAGAGCCACGCAGGTGAGTTTATTTCCTCTTCCCAGGAAGACTCGGTAATCAGAGTCTAGAAACATGGATTAGGCAGGAGAAAGGGACTCCCGCTGATGGCTTTGGGAGCGAGACGCCCAGAGGGCTGTCAGGAAACGGGGTATTTCCTGTCAAGAGCGAAATGAGCTGTGTCCACCCTCGCCACTGTGTACAAACTGATTCCTTCACAAACACAAGAGATGACCTTTTCCATAAACTCTCATTAAAACTCAGTTTCCTTCTTTCCATTTTCCTTCCTTCTTCCTTTTCTTTTTTCTCTGTCATATTTTCCTCCCTGTTCTGTCAATGAAAAGTTGCTAGTCTTAAAACCATATGCGTAAAAATGGGTATTACATACCCACTTCTCAAAATGTTTTATGTCGCGAGCGGCGACGCAGAGCACTGTCCCGCAGTGCAAACCTGAAAGAGCAGCGGGGTGGAGATGGGGCAGAGAGAAAGGAAGGACGCCAAGACAAGAGTCTGATCAAGGCGACGTTTATCGCAGGCAGGCATCAGCCTTTTAAAGGAAAAGACCGAACTATTATGGGCTAGGATTACCATAGTAACCTCAACACCCGCTCCACGGGAACGAGGGTTCACACGGGAAAGAGAAAGCAGGCGCAAGAAAAACGAATTAACAACACTTGCAACTGATAATCATGATTCCCAAATAGGTGGAGGAACTTAACAAAATGGAGTTACAACACCTGACTCCTACAGATAACGTCAGATCCTTAACAGGAAGCACCTGACTCCTACAGATCTTTGGCTTTCCGAGTTTCTCCCATGCAGGGTCAAAAACAAGTTTAACACGTGCAGTCCTTAAAAAAGGAACAAATGTTATCTCTCAAAAAGCCAGTGGGCCATGGCTGGCTTCCCACAGGTAAGGCCTTAACTATTGCCATTTTGTTAATTGCTTACGGTGTAAAAACATTATGTGTAGGAACGTGCCATCCTTTTTCATTTTTTGAAATAGAGTCTCGTTTAAACTGCGCAGGCTGTCTTCAAACTTGGGATCTTCCTACTTCAGCCTCTGGAGTAACTGGGATTTCAGGTGTGCTGCACCACACTCAGACTGAAATGTATTTTTACAAACTAAATGAAATTGTCAGTTTAATGACCTCGGATGCCTTTCTGAAGGAATTAAGGGCCCTCTGTAATGTAAGCAGGGAGCCAGCACCTGTATCCCTGCGTTTCCGTGAGATTATGAAAGCTAACTAGAATGGGCACCTGCTCCCAGGTGGAAAACTAGCACCTGTCAGAAATGTATGAGCTTAAATTTTTATCTGCTGCCTCTGGGTAGAGCTCCTTGGGTACACATAGGTCGTTCCCAGTTACCAAGTAGTTCAGCATAAACTGTGCTATATACACCTGCATCTGTATATTTAAGGGAGGAGCAAAGTTGGGTTTATCCCGAAATGAGTATGGAGTGGATTACATAAGAGGATGAGGGTTTTAGATGGAAGTCGTGGCACATGCGTGTAACTCCAGTACTCTGGGAGGCCGAGGCAGGGGGATGCAAGTTTAAGCCAAGCTTGGCATACTTAGTGAGGCTTTGTATCCAAATCAAACATAAAAAAGGGCTGGAGGAAAATAATAAAAATTAAAAGACAGAGTGTAGCTCTGTACAAAGCCCTGTGGTTCAATCCGTAGTACCAAGGGGAAAAAGAATTTTTTTCTTCGATTTTCAATCTCTTAGCAGATTGCTTCTATTGCCCATGACATTGTGATCAGACCTCACATTTATTCATCTTATTAAAGTGCTTACTTTCTGTCTTCTCTGTGAAGATATCTGGTCTCATGTCGCGAGCCGGCGACGCAGAGCACTGTCCAGGAGGGCCTCAAACCTGAAAGAGCAGCGGGGTGGAGGTGGGGCAGAGAGAAAGGAAGGACGCCAAGACAAGAGCGGGATCAAGGCGACGTTTATTGCAGGCAGGCATCAGCCTTTTAAAGGAAAAGACCGAACTATTATGGGCTAGGATTACCATAGTAACCTCAACACCCGCTCCACGGGAACGAGGGTTCACACGGGAAAGAGAAAGCAGGCTCAAGAAAAACGAATTAACAACACTTGCAACTGATAATCATGATTCCCACAATAGGTGGAGGAACTTAAAATGGAGTTACAACACCTGACTCCTACAGATAACGTCAGATCTTTAACAGGAAGCACCTGACTCCTACAGATCTTTGGCTGTCCGAGTTTCTCCCGTGCAGGGTCAAAAACAAGTTTGTTTAACACTTGCAGTCCTTAAAAAGGAACAAATGTTGTCTTTCAAAAAGCCAGTGGGCCATGGCTGGCTTCCCACAGTTTTAATCTAGTTAAATGTAAAAACAATTCAATTAAAAAGGAATTCTTGGGCCAGGGATTTAGCTCAGTGGTTCTGCCGCCTGCCTTGCAAGCACAAGAACCTGAGTTCAATCCCTGGTACAAAAAAAAAAAAAAAAAAGGAATTCTTTCCAATTCTTTACTTAAGATCCTCCACATTAAAAGGTAAATGTGCACTACACAGAACACAGTGATTGAAAGTGGCTCTTCTAACCTTTTCAATTCTGTATGAGTTGATGTGAAAAATAAAAGTTCATAATGAATATGCCTTTCA